CCTTGTGTATTCTGCCACGATGTACACACACCAGCGCATTGCGCGAACGTATCTGATACAGCATCACGCATGAACATTGTAAAACGCGAGAAATTGTGTTTCAACTGCCTTGGCACACATCGTATAAATGAATGTAAGTCAAAACACTTATGCCGTAATTGTAACAAAAAACATCACACAAGTCTGTGTACTGTACGCCCATTTAACAACAAGATTAACCATGATAATGAAAGAAATAGACAAAGCGTGAATAATACAAATTACAGCCAACAGAATATGAATTTTCATGGTAACAATAGACAAGCTAATCAGACATCTGTACATTTGGTAAATGACACGAAGAAGAAGGAAGAGGACACTTCAATTCTATACTCATCGTCAGTCGAGGTACGTACAAATGTACTTTTTAAAAACTGCAGTAGCACCCGTATGGTCAAACCACTTATGTAAAGATACCCATATACTTTTTGACGAGGGAGCACAGAGATCATTTGTTACCGAAGATTTAGCGAGAAAACTGAATTTACATACAGAGGGCACTGAAATTCTACAATTATCGTCATTTGGAGATGGAAACAAAAACATACGACACTTAGATAAATCAACAGTTTTCGTAGAAACAGATGCAGGAAAGAAAATACCGATTCAAGTTCTAATTGTACCAATGATTGCCGTACCTTTGCAGAACAATATTCGCCACATTAACAGAGGACTGGACTATTTACGGGGACTAAAGTTAGCACATCCGGTAACACAAGAGGAGTCTTTCGAAATAGCATTATTGATCGGAGCAGACTACTATTGGGACTTAGTCGAGGATGAAGTGGTACGAGGAAATGGTCCAACCGCCGTGAAGTCAAAGTTAGGTTTCTTACTTTCCGGTCCAGTAAGGGGCCAGAGAGATAACTCGTTGATGGGTACTAACATTTTTAACATTCTTGTTTCTCATAAAACGGAGGAGCATGATCTAGAAACATTTTGGAGATTGGAATCAATTGGTATTAACTCGAGAGAAACGGACGAAGACGAAAAGGATTTTTTGGAAACATATCAAGACACTTCGATTGAACTCAGAGGTAATAAATACTTTGCAAAGTTGCCATGGAAACAGGAACATGACGAACTACCATCAAATTATATAGTTACAAGAAGAAGAACAGAGAACGTTATTAAGAAACTTAGTCAAGATCCTAAACTACTAAAGAAGTATGGAGATATAATCGCCGAACAGGAACGCAGAGGATTTGTTGAGACAGTAGATGAAAAAGAACAAAAAGGCGGGAAAATCCATTACATTCCACACCACCCTATACAGAAGGAATCTAGCACAACTCCTATACGAATAGTATACGACTGCAGTTGTCGTCAATCACCAAACCATCCAAGTCTAAATGATTGTCTGATGGACACACCACCAAAATTAAATGACTTGACAAAACTTCTAGTACAATTTAGAGCCAACCAGTTTGCTACATGTACTGACATTGAAAAAGCTTTCTTACATGTTGGATTGAGCGAAGAAGATAGAGACGTTACCCGATTTTTATGGCTTAGTGACCCTATAAACCCAGGAAGTCAGCTGAAAACTTACAGGTTCAAATCAGTGTTATTTGGAGCGACATCTTCGCCCTTTATACTCAACGCCACAATACAGAAACATTTGAAACAATTCGGAAACAGTGAAACAGCTAGAATTCTAGAAAGAGACATATACGTTGATAACATTTTATCTAGTATGAAAAAAGAGGAAGATTTACTTATGTATTTCAAAGAAGCAAGGAACTTGATGGCTGGAGCTGGATTCAACTTGAGATCATGGAGTTCAAACAGTGCTAAATTACTACAATTAGCTAAAGAAGAAAACGTCCTAGATACGGATAAGTATACCAAAATACTTGGAATGTTGTGGAATAGTCGAAGCGACAAGATCTTTTACCCGAAGCGTGAAATTCCTACACCGGAACTGCTTCAACATGTAACTAAACGAGAAGTTTTGAAATATTCATCAAAGATTTATGATCCACTCGGCTTACTTAGTCCGGTTACAATTAGAGCGAAAATCCTGATACAAGAATTATGGAAATGTGGATTAGATTGGGACGAACTTATACCGGATAATTTAAAGACTACGTGGACAGATTTAACCAAAGATTTGGAAAAGGCAATACAATTCACTATTCCTCGATATTATTTTAGCAAGCCATCAACATCAACAGAATTAATACTTCATGTATTTACAGATGCAAGTCCAAAAGCGTACGGCGCAGCAGCTTATTTAAGTAACGAAAACGAAACTACTTTAGTAATGGCGAAAACCAGAGTAGCACCAGTCAAATGTTTAACCCTCCCACAACTTGAACTTATGGCCGAATTTATCGGCGCACGACTAGCAGCACATCTTCATTCAACGCTTGATCATCCAAAAACTGTTTTTTGGTCAGATAGTAGCATTGTACTTCATTGGCTAACATCTACGAAGACTTTGAAACGTTTTATTGCCAATCGAGTAAAGGAAATAACAGAATTGACGCATCCATACAAATGGCGGTATTGTCCTACTGATAACAACCCGGCAGATCTTCTTACACGAGGACTTACAATTGAACAATTTGACCAGAGTATACTTTGGCGGAAAGGACCGAATTGGTTAACAGATAGTTCAAAATGGCCAGAACTAAACAGCGCAAAAAACACCGTTTTGACGTCACTGGTAGATGACAGAGAAAATGAAGAGGAATTGGACAACTTGGTGTGAAAAACCAAAATAATCTAGTCGGTATAACAAACATATTGGATATTTCGAACTATGGATCTTATATGAAGTTATTACGTATTACCGCCTATGTCATCCGTTTTATCCGCAACTGTAGACGGGATAGGATTTCCAGAAAAAGCGGACCGCTTGAGGTCAATGAAATTCAAACAGCAGTAAATACATGGATTTTAGATTGCCAGGAGTCTACGTATACAGATGAAATGTCATACCTGAGAGGAGCACAACAAAAAAACACAAATAAAGTACCAAGAGTCCGACAATTAGGACTTTTCTTAGACCAATCCGGTCTCATCAGATGTAACGGGAGAATACACAACGCACCAATTCCAGAATCAGCAAAATTTCCGTACCTTTTACCAGCAAATCATCCGTTAACTAGACTTATTGTATTGGACGCACACGAACAATTACTTCATAGTGGAATGAATGCTACAGTCACCTATATTAGACAAACATTTTGGATACCAACTATTCGACAGTATGCAAATAAATTACTCCGCAAATGCGTTATTTGCCGCAAAGTGTATGGAAAATCGTACGTTGCACCAGACCCACCACCTTTACCAAAAATCAGACTACAGGAAGCACCCCCCTTTACAGTCACTGGAGTTGATTTTACAGGAGCGTTACTTGTAAGAGACGAAAATAGAAGTTTAACAAAAGCGTATATATGCCTGTTTACCTGTGCTTCCGTGCTTCCACCAGAGCCGTTCATCTAGAAGTGGTACCGAACCTAACCGAAAATTCGTTTGTTCAAGCTTTCCGGCGTTTCGTAAGCCGTAAATCAATACCTAAAACACTTATATCAGACAATGCAACTACTTTCATTGCAGGATCAGAGGAACTAAAAAGACTATGTGAATCGGCAACACTAAAAGAAACGTTGTCTATACGAGGGATAGAATGGAAGTTCATACCAAAACGCGCACCTTGGTATGGTGGATTCTGGGAGAGACTTATTGCGCTTACAAAGACAAGCTTGAAAAAGACACTTGGACGAACTCAAGTCAGTATGGAAACTCTACAGACTGTCGTGACAGAAATAGAAAGAATTTTAAATGATAGACCACTTACATATTTTTCATCAGATATTAGAGACTGCGAAACGTTAACCCCCGCTCATCTTTTGTATGGTAGAAGAATATCAGCGCTGCCATATCCGCAAAAAGATATAGATGAATTCAACGATCCAACCTATATGAATCATAAAGAACTCAACAAATGTGCACACAGACAAACTTTATTAATACAACACTTCTGGACCAGATGGAAGTCCGAATACTTAACTTCGTTACGCGAATTTCACAAAACTTTAGGAAAAAACGAACAATCTATTCATATTGGAGACATAGTTCAAATCCATAATGAATCGCCTAGAGTCAATTGGAAACTAGGTATAGTAAATGAACTTATAAGAGGTAATGATGGACTTGTACGGGCAGCACGGATACAGACAAGCAATGGTGAGACATCCCGACCAATCGTAAAACTATTTCCGTTGGAGGTATCAGGGACACATTCGGATGCTACAAGCGATCACACTGACGATCAACAAGAAAACACAACTCAAAGAAGTACTCGACCGAAACGAAATGCGAGCATGAAGGCCCGGAAGAGGATACGAAACTGGATAACCAATGTAGACGAAAATGATGAAGAAGAATTACAATTTTAAAAAGGACTTTCGTAGTTAACTCAAAATTTTCATTTATGTGAACAAGAACTTAGTTTAACTTAATTCAATTTAGTTCATTCATCGAGATAGAGACTATTTCATTTGATTTATTTTCAAATATGGACTGTTAATGTGAAATCTATGATAATTTGCACTTTTTGCGGCCCCCAGTATGTCGAGATTATTGCGGGATAAAGACGTTCTTGAGTTTGTACATTACCACTGACGACGTCGCCGACTACAGTGACGTCGCCGTGGGCTCTAGAGAGTTGTTATTAAAAGTTATGGCTGAACAGACGTGTTTGTTTATATTAGCGTAAATATCATACTTTTAACCTCCACAATGTGACATATTTTAGTGTACATTGATATTGAAATGACATCTTGGGTAGCTGTCTCATTTATAAACACCCACATCTTTTATACATATGTAGAGGTTGCTGTACAGTCTTTGATAATAGAAAAGTGTCTTTCTGAAATCTCATGACATACAAAAAAAGACCAGATCTGAGAAGTGTTGACAGAGAAGGCATTGATGTCTGTAAAAATATCAACTTTTCTTTTTTTGCATTTTATAGAGACTTGGAAAAGAAAAATGATGAGATTAAAAAACTATCCAGAGAGATCCATTCTTTGAAGGAAAGAGGTCGAATTGTAAAAACGACGTATGTTAAATTTTATTTGAAAAGGGAGTATGATAGAGGACATCTTGGTTGTGTAACACCCTTAAAATGCTATATTTTAACATTTTCAGAAGAACAGTGGGATGTATTTACTTCATATTTATTCTAAAGACAGTTTAATTGCAATTACTGTTTCAATATGTACTAGAAAATACATTTTGTTTATGCTTTGATCTCAATGATTTCAATTTACATATTTTATTGCTTGAGAAGAAGTTTAGAAAAAAAAATAAGATGAAATTTGATGATGGTTACTCTTCATTTTGTTTTTAAAAGGTTTGAGGAGAAATAAACATAAGTAATCATCATTTTTGGCTCGACTCAAAGGAGTTGAAGGAGAGAAACTATGTTGTGCTGTTTTTTGCAACTTCAGCTTCAACAATGTATTACTTTGTGATTACTGTAAACCATCTTATTTTCGCAGATACTTTATTTCGCGTTTAACCCTTTCTAACCCATTTCGCGCAATTTAATTTCGCGATTGTAAAATTTACTTGATGACGATAAATAAGGAAAAATTCAAGTTTTTCATATTCGCGACGATTTATATTTGCGTTATTTTTCTACTCGTGAAAGTCGTGAAAAAATTCACTCGCGAAAATTAGTTGGTTTACAGTATATCAGTTTAAGAGGAATCACTAGTGGTAGGTCAATGATAGTTGTTATGCAGTTGTATAAACATTGACACATATCATTTTCATGGAGATTCTTTGACGCCACCCACTCAGTCATTTGTATAATGACTTGAAAACTTTCTCTTTGTTTACACGTTAAAGTTTGTGATTAGGTCAGTTGGTCCGGGGAACACAGTTATTGTCCTTTGATTTTCATTGTCTACAAATATAGTCCCTACTGTGGACAGTGTATTAGTTGCAATTTTTTTCATACCCCTTCCAAATCTATTTCTTCATGTTTTATGCCTCAAATAGCAAGAGGGGGGATGAAATTACACTATAAAAAAATTTGGGTCATGAATTTTAAAGTAAAGTAGTGATTTGGTCCAGCTGAAAAAATGTTAAAAATTAGTATATCTGAAGCTGTCAAAAGAATTCAAGACCCCCTTAACATAAAATTATCCATATTTTGAGTTGGAGCTGATGAAGTTTTCTATAATTTTGATACAATTTGTCCCAAAAGTAGTACACCACACTGTAAAAATATTATTGAGAAAGCACAGGTAGGATTTTTGCGTGAACCCTCGGAGGGGTTCACACTAATATATTGGCGAGTTTTGGAAGTTTCTATGGGCCATACGATATTCTCGGAAACAAGATTCTTGGAACGTCTTGAAAAGTTTAGATCATTTATACAGGTAGTTGTTTATGTTTTTGATATGGTCCCTCTATGGATAGGCTACCACGTGACATTGTATAGTTCAACAATCGAAGTTCATTTGAAGATCGGAAAATTAAAAAAAATAAAGACTTGATTGCAAAAAAAATCATTTATATGTTGCCACCTACTTGCCTTTTGGTAGAACATATGCATTTTAATAATGCGACATAATCAAAATGTTTATTGAAAATCAAGTATAATGATAACGCAATATTATATAATTCATGCTTTGAGACGGCCCCTGTGTGCGTTGTGTGTGAAGTATTTAATACAACGTGCTATTGTGCATAATTTGTGACAGTAAATCTGGGAAGAGTATACTAATATATTATGTCTCAGAATAAACTGATTATTTCTTAATGTTTACCACGTGACATTATTTTCTTCAATCACAGCCTGGGCAATTGTCGGAAAGCAAGAAGAAAATTAAAAAAACGATATATCTGTTATAAATATGTATCTTAGGTCGGAAAGCATAATTATAATTAAACAAAACAATATTTCTGTCAAAATATTTAATTTCATTAAAATACACTAACAGACCAAGAAAATATTCATTAACATTATTAAGTTTAAACTGAAACTAAATTTGTCATTAATAGAATATAATGTATAATGTTATATTATGTCAGACATGTCTGAACAGTGAATACATTTATGAAAATTATATGCAACATATTAGCACCAGCTATCAGGGATGCGTACACATAAGTTAGTTAAATTTAAACTGTAGTGAAATGAAAAAAATACTTCACAACGATTTTAAATCCTTGCATCTCACAAAAAATATATTTAATATTTTACAATAATCATTTAATTACTACGTTAATTATTTAATTTCCTTTTAGTAAATATGGTTTTATAAGTCTCTGCTTATATTTTGTATAGCAATATATTCATATAATGGAAAGTCAGACTTGAAGAAGAGATTGATTTAAAATATAAATTGTCCATCAGTAAATACATGAAATACTTGATATTTGTTTTTATTGATATTATATTTTTAAATTTTCGGAAATGATTCATTAACAGGAATTATTTTGTTTTGTTTTTAATAGTTTAACCTCATATCATCTTAATCTTTTCAATATGGAGTGATTTCGAAAATTGTGTATTCAGTGCCGGTTCGTGGGGGGGGGGGGGTCCGGGGTTGGAACCCCCCCCCCCCTTTTTTTTGACAATCAATGCTTTTGAATGGGGACTTATGGTTGGAACCTCCCCCTTTTAAAAATGGCTGGATCCGCCCCTGGTATTCATTGTGTTGACCAGCTATCATACACCCGTCTTGATTTATTTTCAATTATATTACACCCTGTTCACACGACACAACATCGGTTTGCGTTTACACAAATTTCGGATTAAATGGCCATGAATCCGGAGTGAAAACACTTGAGGTAGGTAGTTTGACATCCAAATTCAACTAGCATTAGATTAATGAATATACGTGATGACGCAAATACGTATTGTAATCCAGAGTATCAGTGCGTATGCTTTTCACTTACTATTTCTTGTGCTGCGCAAGAAAACCACATGCATGCATAGATATTAATTTCACTCGCGGACTGTGATTTTTCACATTTCTTATCTTAATTCAGGACACAGCAGTTAGAGCTGTACATGTGACGTTGAATCATGGTCATCATAAGTTAAAGTATTCTGACCTCCAGCTGTTTCTCTTTTCTTTTTCTTTTTGTTTGATTGACTGTCCTATTATAAACTTTGAAATTTTCAAAATACTAAGGATTTTCTTCCCAAGGAATAAATAGATTACCTTAGATGTTTTTTGCAAACCCTTTGTTTCGAAATTTTGGGTTTTCAATACTCTTCAACTTTGTACTTTATTCGGCCTTTTAACATTTTTTTATTCAAGCGTCACTGATGAGTCTTTGTAGACGAAATGCGCGTCTGGCGTACAACATTTTAATCCTGGTATCTATACATTTTTTTTTTATCTACATAGGATACATATCTTTTTTTTTAAATATATTGGTTCTTTTGAGAGTATATTCAGGTATTTATAAATCTTCTTCAGATCTAAGTTTTTCCCATAGAATATTTGGATTGATTAAAGTAACTTCAGGAAATCCTTAAAATTTTAGATGTTTTTATAGACCGAAATAATTACCAGTTTATAAGAGGTCCCAATGTAGCTGGTGTGTTACTCTCAAAACTAAAATATGAAACATTGTCATAAGTTGCATGCCACAGAGTTACACTTCACATGGAAATTGGACTTTCAATTTTTCTAAACAACATCTACCGTGAGTACAGACAACAGCTTCAATAATGAGTATAAGAAATATTTGAAGCCATCAAGGAAACAAAATATGAAGATATGACAGACGAAATAAATGAATCTAGATTATTTTAGCAAACTGAGTGCTTAAATTTATATTGCGATTGGTCTGTGCAATTTGCTTTAGACATTCGGTTTGCAGAAACTAAGAATTGCAATAGGATTGGGACTTTGTATGTATATTAAACACGAAGAAAAACTGATGTACACTCCCAAGTAATAAATAAAATAGTCAAGCATTAAAAGGTAAATTCATATAGTAGCTGTATACATTTTTCTATTTCCAACTAAAGTACAACGTCGCTTTTCATTGACTTGTGTAAGAATCTACACACAATTACATATTTTCAATAAAGGCGTTTTAACATCATCGATATATTATTCTTTTCAGTCAATTATTTCAAATCTTAAGCCAAAAAAAAAAAAATTCAGCAACATTTTTTTGGTTACCAGTCAGCGGTCTTGGGTTCACGTATTGCTTTTTTTTTTTAAAGAAAGCAACTTGTTTTAATTTTCATTTATTGTCTAAAAGAAATGCACTACGAAATAACTGTGTTCTTGGGCCAGTTTAAGGGGAACCACTATGGTAAGTCATTGATATGTGTATGCATTTGTATAAGCATTTGTTCATCTCATATCAATAAAAATATTTGACACCATCCACTCGGTCATGGTCTTTTGAGATCGAAAATATGCATAGTTTACATGTTTAATTTAGGTTAGTTAAAGAGGAACCATAAAAGGAAGTCTATGGTATTTGGTTTGAAGTTATATAAGCATTAGCACATCTCAGACTTATTTCATTGGAAATTATATGGGCAACCCCCCTCAGTCATGGTTTATTGACTTTGAAACTTTTACATATTTGTTCATAATCTGTAAAGATGGGACTCATTTGGCCTTACTTTTAACTGTAATTTGAGCTTTTAATTTAAGATTTCAATCTATGTCTGATTAAAATTGAGATGTGCAAAATTAAAAAAACAAGAGTTGTTTGGCATGATGATTTTTGTGATTTCTCTCTTGTTATCCTTTCCAAAATTAATAAATGCCTCACTATATCTCGATAAAACTTTCTTTACTGCTTTATGCAAACAAAATTATCAAATATATTCCTCATTAGAACATTGTAGAAATATATCTGTTTTTTATAAATATTGTATTTTTTCAGTGCTCAGGCATATGGCTGTAATGGATGTGGAAAGGTTTTTGGAACAAGGGAGGATTTACCATGCCATAAAAGCTGGTTTGGTTGCAAATAGTTGATGGTCTTACCTAACCGGCAAAAAGAAGGAATTGCTTTCAAAGGACTATTATGATTGTTTTTAGAATAAATATGATTGATCAGTCATCATATGGACAGATGTGTGCACATTGTTTTTGGCTCTCCTGCTCCAAACTTTCAACTTTGGAGTCCAAAGGGCCATGTGAGCTAATGCCAACAGTTGGCATAGTTTATTGTCAAGCGTCCATTGTCTCTTTGTGTGTTTCTACAAAGGAGATATAGATGGACATGATGGAGAACTGCATACATTTTACAGTTTTCTTTATGTTTTCATTATGATGTGATTTTGACGTCATAATTAGCATCAGATATTTTGTGTTATTCTTTTTTTTTTCGTTTATAAATTTCGATATTATAAGGAAACTAAGGTTTCAGCTCCCTCAGGCAAATTTGACCTTAGATGGAATTGGCAATTGGTTGTTGGTCCTTTTAGGTTATACTAGAACATACTCGCGGGTCCGTGACTGAATTAAAGTACATACGCCTTATTTTTAACCTGGATTTTTAGTTTTCGTATTGTCATCTGATAAAGTCATGCTGATTATAAGGTGCACAGTTTTCTCAGCCTTCAAAAATCTTTCTGCTTGAACCCGTTGACCCAGAACTTGTTTATTATTAGTAATATTAATTATGTGGAAAACAAAAGGGTTGGAATGGTGTAATTTGTAATCAACACCTTTGTTATATATTAGTTATTTACAAAATTAAATTCTTTGATGCGTCGTTTTTACGTCATGCCGGATAACAAATTGGAAAGTGCTTACGCCTTATTTTAAGCCTGGATTTTTAGTTTTTTCGTATAGTCATCTGAAAAGGAATGCTGATCATGAGGTGCACAGTTTTCTCTGCTTTCAAAATCTTTCTGTTTTAACCCGTCCTGGTTTTCTTACAACAACCGGAATTTATTTGGGTCAATCCCTTATAATGACGAAGTTCAGGTGTGATTATGACCCGTGAATATATCAAGCATATCCCAAATACACTGTTTGGTTGTGCGCCTGACAGAGGCAGAACGTACAGATTAGTTAACAGGTGACATATAGTATTGGTATCAGTATCGGATTCGACCCGGAACTTGTTAATTATTGGTAATATTTACTATGTGGAAAACAAAAGGGCCTGGAATGGTGAATTTTTTTAATCAACACCATTGACCTATATTAGTTATATACAAAGTTGAATTCTTTGAATCAGCGTTTTTACGGCATGCCGGTTAACAAATTGGACTTCGTATTTTTCGTAGTAAAGATACCTCTTCAACTGTTTAGGTTCTTATACATTTTTGGCTTACAAATATTCGGCTTTGAGCGTTCCTGATGAAGGTAAATCAAGGAAATTGCTTTGGACCCATGAAATTTATAATGCTTTGTTATCATTTTTTAAACTAATGTTTTTCTTAACATTATAGTATGAGGGTCCTGATAGGGGTCCTTAATTTCTGTATTCTTTAATATTTGAGTGCACTTTTCTTTATCATTAAAACAAAAACTTTTTCTCTAAAGTTTCATGAAAATCTCTCTTTAATTTTTCTGTAATTAAATGATTTCTTTATTCTTTACATCATTCATTTCTGTAATCAGTATTATATTACCTATATAAAAATAAGGAGATGTGGTATGATTGCCAATGAGACAACTATCCTCCAAATTTCAAATGAAGTTGATGTAAGCGATTATAGGCAACTGTACAGCCTTCAACAATGAGAAAAAAAACAATACCGTATAGAAGGCTATAAAAGGCCCCAATATGAAAAATATGAAAGAATTCAATTGAGAAAACTAGCGGCCTAATTTATAACAAAACAATTTAGGAAAAACAAATATGACCGACATGAACCAAAGACGACCACTGAACTACAAACTCCTGACTTGGGACAGGCACATATAGAATGTGGCAGGGTTAAACCAGTTTGCTGGTGCCAAACCCTCCCCCTAGTCCTTTTATTTATACAATTATATTTTATACTTTTGTATGCAATTATTCTTTATTCATTTTTTGTGAGCTTATTTTACTCTATTCATTATTTTTTAAGGCCATTATTCTCTATCCTGTAAAATCCATACAGAGTCTCTAATATGTAAATTTAAAATATTATTTGCAAAGACTTGTTTGTGTGCCAAAAAGGGCCTGAATGGCCTATTACTTTCGTTCAATTATATTTTCGAGATTTCTACATAGGAATTTGTGACAAATTTATGTATAAACATGTACTCCAAAGAAAAATGTAAAATTAAAGAAAATCAGTCAACAGTAAATTTTAATTACTTTTTTTAGTTTTATTCCAAATATTTTTTTTATGTTATTATGTTTTATGTCACATTATATTATGTCAATAGGATCAGGTACAAACAAATAAATGTACAAGTCCCAGATAAATGCACACAAAAACATAGACAAAAATTGAGACACAAAACCCCAAAATCGATAAGTGCCCTGCCCTCCACTGCTTCCATGTCCCTTTCAATTTCAAGCTGGAAAACTATCAGTGTGTATTCACAATGGAACAGAGGACTTATGACCTTCACCTTTGACCTTGATCATTATTTTTCAAGTTACACATAACCAATAACAAAAATAGAGAATCTAATAAATGGAAATGCTTTACACGAAAAGACAGATTAAATGAAATATAGGTTGGTTTAACATGGGTCATCCACAACCCCTGTTATTTGAGAATAGAATATATTCAAATATCTTGAAAGTGGCTGAAATGACCACCGTTCATCATTTATTGTCTTGTTATGCATTAGGTGCAGACCCAGAGTTTTGAAAAAGGGGGCTATCAAGCCAACGTTTGGAGTGATACTTGTGAAAAGTCTATGCATTTATCATTAATGAAGCTACATAAGGGGGCACAGACCCACTGCTCCCGAGATCCACTTTTGTGCGTGTCAAAGAAAAGAGGGACGAGAGATACCAGAGGGACAGTCAAACTCATAGATCGAAAACAAACTGACAACGCCATGGCCAAAAATAAAAAGACAAACAGACAAAGAATAGTACAGATGACACAACATAGAAAACCAAAGACTAAGCAACACGAACCCCACCAAAAACTGGGGGTGATCTCAGGTGCTCCTGAAGGGTAAGCAGATCCTGCTCCACAAGTGGCACCCGTCGTGTTGCTTATGTTATTACAAATCCGGTAAATAGTCTAATTCGGTAAGTCACATTTGTGAAAAGGTAGGGTATTGTAGTTACGACATAAGGATCATATCCGATATCATCTGTGAAACGGTTATTCCATAACGGTCAACCAACTCGTGATGGCGTCCGTAAAATTTACGAAGGGATGACTTCAACTTCACCATTTGGAACTCTTGGTTTAATAGCTTCCTTGTGAGCAGCAATCCTCTATCAAGGAAATCATGATAGGAAACACAAGCCCGGGAATATCGTATCAATTGGGGGATAATAACTCCGTATGCAGGCGCTGCTGGAATGTTGCTACACAGAAATGGAAAGTTCACAATTGGGAAGCTGAAATCATCTCATTTGTCGTAAAGTTTTGTTTTCAACCGACCCTCATTGTCAATTTCTAGATGTAAGTCAAGATATGAGGCAGACTTAACTGTATCTGTAGTATCCTTTATCTCTAGTTCGATGGGATAGATTCGTTCAACATAGTCACCAAATTTTGTATTATTTAGTGAGAGAACATCATCTATATAGCGGAACGTAGAGTTAAAGGATATTGCTAACTTCTTATCTTTCTTCCTAAGAAGTTCCTGTATGAAGTCAGCCTCATAATAATAAAGAAAGAAGTCGGCAAGAAGAGGAGCACATTGTCAATTGGTTCCCATTTGAATTCCGACAGTCTGTTGAAAAACACGTCCTCCAAACGTAACAAATATGTTGTCAATCAAGAAATCAAGTATCTTGATAATGTCAGATTCAGAGAATTTTTTGTTTGAATCCGAGTGATTCTTTACAAAGTAGGATTTATCCCTCCCCAAGACAAGATACTTGTATCTACGTTCGCCATTCTTTTTAATGAAACAAAGTAATACCAACTCTTTCAATTTGTCTTTTAGTTTGGAATAGGGAATACTTGTGTAAAGTGTAGAAAAGTCAAATGTTTTAATACTATTGCAAGATGAAAGAGTCTTAGATTGCATGTACTTTAAAAGATCTTTGGAATTTTTTAGTATCCACATCTGATTCACGCCACCTCTAGAAAAGGCAGTTTCACAATAACTTTGGAGCCCGGCTTTGATTGCTGATAAAATAGATGTTAATAATTTAGAAAGAGGTTTCGTGGAGCACTTGGAAGACCCAGCAATATACAAGATGCATTGAATGATATAAACGATGAGTGCTAAATTTTATTGAAAAATACATTTTGAAATTTGAATGCCTCGCGACTGTTTTCAGCCATTGACCCAATTTTGCCTATATTGAAAGTTTTTACATTCTGACTTCAGTCATTAATGAACGATTTCTTTAATCAAAATAAAACAAACAAACACAAACTGGTTACATCTTCTGAAAGGTAATGCTAAAGAAAGTGTTGTCCCTTACCCTAAATCTTCAATAGATTTTCAGTACGCAGTGACTTTAACCACGAGACCTCTTGTCAGAACTTCGTCAACCACACAGCGTAAGTGCCAGGGAAAACTGGGATGAAAGAAACAGTAAACAAACTTGGTACATAGCGTTAATTGATTCCGAAAGAAAACAAATTGAAACACCAAATCATTAACCACTATGAAAAAGTTTAACAAATGGAAAGAACGGAATATATAGAAAAAAACCCAATCGCTTGATCATGTCACTTATTTGGCACTGTAAACACTATTGACAGCGAAAAATTAACCAACATGCATACATAGGGCAACATACAGTCGTTTATAATTGACAGCTATCTATACAATGTGTCTAGGTCTAAATCATTCTAACTTTTAAAAAGTTGAGATACGATTAAACACATACAATTACCAAGTTCTTTAAAATATTAATACTCCTAAGCTTAGAATAAAATCAACATTTTGGTATAACATAAGACAACCACTGCCTACAACAATAGATAATGTAACTATACAATATGCCACTTCTAGCGTAATAAATATAAAGAA